GAGTAAAGTGATTGAGGGAGACAAGTCTGGTGTGATTGGAGGATGAGAGAGTGTGGGAGGAGTTTTGAAATGAATCTCTGTGTGTGTCTTGAAGTCAGTTATGAAAGTCAGTTAGAGAAATCAGTTGGAGTTTTGAGTTGGAGTCAGAGTCAGTGAGTGAGCTGACAGAGTCTGTGTGGAAAATTAAAGAGTTTAGAGTGCAGTATATATGTCTTCAAAAGCGAAACTCTAACGATCTGAAAGAAAGTCAAAAATACAAAGAGCTTTGCCAGTGTGGCCGCCTAGTGAAAGAGTGATTCCTGTCAGAGAGGGATCTTATGATCAAAAGACTGTGTGTCATACCTTGCCAGTTTCTTTTACCAGTTTCTCTTCCCCATAACAGTTACAATTAACCAGAAACTCATTTTTATTCCAAAATTCAATAAATCATATTTTGTTTGAGTTTAACCCAGAATTCAGTTCAAACCTTCCTCAGGGCCACATAGACCTTTGAAAGCTCAGACCCTGGGTCACATTACCAACAATAGCTAATGAGAGAAGATTTGGAATTTGTTTAAATTCCTGGTGGCAGCAGAACCACAGCTGAAAAGGTCTGGGCCTTGGTCGATGTCGGATGGCACACTCAACATGGTGAGATAGCCAAGAGATGGCTGCCTGATGACTGTAGTTGGTGCATAGGGACATGGAAGGAGACGGTTCTTTAAATGCAGGGGTCCTAGGTCATCAAGGTCATAACCAGCGCCTTGAATTGAACTTGGAAACAGACTGGCCACCAATCAAAACAGGCAACATATAGGGTTGCCAGCCTCCAGGTCCGGTTGGGGGTTCCCCCGCTTCTGGGGGCTCCAATCTGACCCTGGCCAGCTGGCTGGCGGGGGAAGCCCTGCCCCAAGCCCCGCCCCCAAGAGCAGCCACCTATCCCTGGAACATTCCCTCAATCCCCCCTGCTGGAATGACAGGGGGACCTGGCAACCCTAGCAACATATGTTCCCGGTAGCTAGCCCCTTGCTCTGTCAAGGATGTTATTGTCTATCCTAACTGGCAGCAGCTTTCCAGAGACTCAGTCAGACGTCTTTCACATCACCTGCTACCTGATTCTTTTAACTGAAGATGCTGGGGACTGAACCTGGGATCTTCTGCATGCAAAGCAGATGCTTTCCCACTTGTCCGCAACCCCCCCCCCCCATATCATCTATTCCAGATCCTATAGAATCTTACCCGAATCTGAATGGAATGCTGAATTGTTCCAGTGCCTGTGGCAGTAGTCACCACAGTCATGGGAACGATGGTGGTTCTATAGGAAGATGTCCAACTGTGTCCGAGGCCTGATGCTCCCAGCTGCCCCCCCACCCCAGTAAGTCTGAAGGAGTGCCGGTATGCGCAGACAAGCCAAGCAGAAGCCATGGCCCAAGTGACAGGCTTGTCTGCTTTCTTTCCCACGCTGGCACCAACATGACAGCTAGTCTGCAAATGACTGGAATCTTCAGAGGAAGTTCAGAGTCACAGAGGACAAAAGCCAGCTTTCCATCCTTGATCTTATCCAGAAGATCATCAGCCTGGAGGAGAAAAATGCTTTTAAAAAAAAATCAATCTGTTTCTGTAACTTCTTGTCATTAAAGGCTTTCTATAAATACATTTCTAGGGCAAGTTAAAAATAAGTCCTGCTAATTCCCTTTTAACTGTGCTCATGCCAAAGAAAACAGTCCAAGCTCCGGTCACTCTGCTGTCTCTTTCTGTTGCCTCCTTGGATATGAATGCATTTTATGCAGTTCTCAAGTGTGTCACTCCTTCAGAATGAGGAAGTGCCCATCTGGGGCAGCAGACTTCTGTTTCCTTCCTCTGTCCCTACCCCCTCCTTTTCAC